AATGGGAGATGTTGAGCCAAGGGAAGTCTGAACTTGGATGTGGGGGGAAACTCGGGAGCTGGTGGGAACTAAGCAGCCTGTACTTCATGTGGAGGAGGCCCACGACTCTAGGCTTGGGTGGATTAATGCACCTTCTGATTTGGGCCGGAACGGATGGGAAGTTGCTCAGAAGTCAGAAGTGACATGGGGCCCCAGGCGGTTGCTGGGGCCCCGACTTTGTCAGCTGAGGCCACTTTCCATACCGGCAGAGGAAATGGGGCAGTTCTCTGTCGTTGAAACGGAACCGTCCCTGGCTGGGTCTCATTACAGCTGGAGAGCCCGCACATTGGTGGGGGGAAAGGGAGGCCAGATTCAGGTCCCAAAGCCGGTCTGATAAGTCCCCATCTCCACTCCCAGGTCTGGACCCTGCAGTGGTCACCTCAATCCTGGACACGTTGTCTAATGTTGTATTTGCAGAAAGAATATACACTTAGACCTGTTTAAAAATCATAAACACCTGGTAGTACATAATTAATTTTTAAAAACTAACCCATAACTACACTCAAATATTTCTTAACCTAACATTCAGGCCTCAAAAGAAAACAGCTTCACAGTTTAAAAAACCAAAACAAAAATAACCTTGTACATTTTTCTTGGATGTTGCCATTGCTCAAACGAGCCAACGGGCTTCCTTTGGCATCTCTCCTCAGGAAACAGTTCAGTTTCCCATCCAAGTTCCTAGGAAAGCATCTCAGGCTACCTGGACCCCCGCATGCTGTGGAGACAGGAGAGACCCTGTCAGCCTCTCCCTCCCGGGGCTCGTTGGCTGGTGGATGTTTGTGAATAAACTTGCTGCGTCTGCATCCATCACCCTTCTTAAAAAACATCCTGTTAGGATCTCAGCTCATGTCCAACTTGTGGTTACAGAGGAGTGTCATCCACACTGCAGACTGCCACGCTGCCACGGAACATGTCTGTTGTGCTTTAGAACAGGCAGCAGGACATGGCTCATGCCAGCCACTAGATGGCGCCTGCGTGCAGCCTGTTTCTCCTGGGACCTGCCCCCCCAACCCAATGTCTGTCACCTTTGTCACAGACTTGACTGTGGCTCTTCCAGCTTTTCCTTCCCAGCTCTGTATGAGATGAGACCGGGGTCCAAAGACAGGGCCAAACGGCCTGGCTCTGTAAACAATTCATGTGCTTCATGAGCAGGTAGTTTTCTAAGTGACACGCAGTCACAAACTTCTCTCATTCAAGGGTTAGCATTGTGTAGTGGTCCCTCTCTGTATGGGGATGGCCTGGGGTCTGACACTCTGTGGATTCATTCAATAGTCAGGACACGTACTAGGGTGTCCTTGAGCACAGCCTACAAGGACATAGACAGGTACATGTCCAGGCACCAGCAGTGACAAGCACCATAAACTTGATTGAGTGGTTAGCGTCTCAGTCAATGTTTTTTTTTTTAATATATTTTGTTGATTATGCCATTACAGTTGTCCCAATTCCCCCCTTCACTCCTCTCCACCCTGTACACCCCCTCCCACCCACATTCCCCTGTTTTAGTTCATGTCCATGTGTCATAAGTTCTTTAGCTTCTACATTTCCCATACTATTCTTATCTTCCCCCTATTTTCTACCTATCATCTATGCTCTGTACCTTTTCCCCTTCTCTCCTCCTCCCACTCCCCTGTCGCTAACCCTCCATGTCATCCCCATTTCTGTGGTTCTGTTCCTGTTTTAGTTGTTTGCTTAGTTTGTTTTCTCAAAAGAGACCTTGCAGGCAAGAAGGGGCTGGAAAGAAGTATTCCAAGTCATGAAAGGCAAGGACCTACAACCAAGATTGCTCTATCCAACAAAGCTTTCATTTAGAATGGAAGGGCAGATAAAGTGCTTCTCAGATAAAGTCAAGTTAAAGGAGTTCATCATCACCAAGCCCTTATTATATGAAATGTTAAAGGGAAAAAGTTATCTAAGAAAAAGAAGATAAAAAAGATGTATAGTAAAATGACAGCAAACTCACAATTATTAACAACCACACCTAAAACAAAATCAGTCAATGTTTTTAAGTAATAGCATTCATTCCTCCCAGAAGCCCACTGAGGGGGACTGTGAGGCTGGCCAGAGGGCCTTGGAGCTTAGAGGTGGGTTCCCCGCCCAACTCTGCCCACCCTCTTGCTGCTGCACGCCTGCTGGTTACTCCTCCACATGCATGCGTAGTGAGCATGACAGAAATGCTGGCTATTACTGTATTGTCACCCCATTTTATAGAGGAGGAAACAGAAGCTCAGAGAAGTTAAGCAGCTTGACCAAGGTTACACAGCCTGCAAGGGGCTGAGCAGAGATTCAAACACAAGTCCTCGTAACCCCACTATGTCAGACCGACCCCAGCATCTCCATCATTCAGTCTGGCCCCATCAGGCCAGTGAACCCATGGCTGCCCTGTAAAGGGCCAGCCTTCCAGGGGCCTGGTTAGCATTTCCGCTCCAAATCTCTGGTTTCCACCGGTGACTGCCTTGCCTTCATTTGGACTGAGAACACTTTCTGCCAGACAGTGGTCCCAGGACCAGAAGCATCAGCATCACCTGGGAACTGGTTAGGAATGAAAATTGTCGGGCCTCCCTCAGACCTGCTGAACCAGGAGCTCTGGGGCGGGGCCCTCCAGTGATGCTGATAGACGCTAAAATTTGAGAGCATTTACAGTAAACCACACGCCTCATAAAACCGAGCCTCCAGCTTAGGGCCAGTAAACAATTGTTTGAGCCCTGCTCCTGGTGGCGTGAAGAGGAAAGCACCAGGAGTTTAGCCGAGAAGGGAAGGAAATGAACGTGGAAAAGTGATCTGCCCAGAAGCCAAAAAAAAAAGGGAAAGGGAGAATGGGGGGTTGAAGAGAGGGGGTTCTAGTTCAGATGATGGCTTTTAACAGTCCATGTGGCTTTTCACGCAGGTGCGGGAGCCTACACTTGAAGGGTTCTGCAGCGGGCCCAGCTGCACCTCTACTGCTAAGCGCTGCGTAGAGTTCCACTGTTCGGCGGTCAGGAATGCCCTGGCCCGTTAGACTCGGCCTTGGGGGCCTCCCGGCCGGGCTGCTGTCAGGCATGGGCATCCCGAGAAGTAGAAAGTTGTTTGTAATTCCGCAATAAAAAACAACCCCCTTGGTCTGTCCCTCCCTCTGGCTGACTGTTGGGGGTTTGTGGGTGACTTTGCTGCCCCTTCATGCACCCTCTGTGTTCTCAGCCCACTGCCAACCCCTGCCATCCCACATGCACCGAACCAGACCACACCTCTGCCCCCCCTCCCCAGTTTCTACCAGAGTTCTGCATCCATTCTGCATGCTGGTTCTGAGCATTGTGCACACACCATCTGGAGAGGGATCTACAGATGCATACACATATGTACATACACACTCATACCTATATGTACATACTATATGCGACTATTGCAACATGCAGGACTTGAGACACTAAAAATAATTGATCTGAAATTCAAATTTAACTGAGTGCCTGTATTTTAGGACAGTCAAAGACAGACCTACTTCCTGAGCTCCTCCCCTCATTGGGACCCCCTCCAAATGCAGGCACGAGGAATGCGCTCGGCCAGCAGGGAGCCTCCTCTTCCCACAGCTCCTGGTTATGACAGACCTGCCTCCGAACAGTGACTCTGTGACCCGATGCCGAGACAGCTGCGGGGGACTCTGCCGGGGCTCCTGCCACGTGCCCATCTCATCCACAGTCTCTTTCTCCGTATCCCCATCTTTGGGTCCTGAGCAGATCAAGTGAATTTTGAAGGAACAGCGTGTCAGGCACAGCAGTCTGCAGGAAACTGCTCGCACGCTGAAATTTGTATTTTCCCGTGCAATTTGGCTTTTCGCCAGCTAAGAAATAGAAAAGCGGTTGTCAAAGAGGACGACAGGTGGCTCCCCTGAAACTTTCTCCTTCATCAAAGGCCCCCAGTAGTAGAGAAACTGCACATCAAAAGAGAGAGACAGGAAGCCCTAGTGGGCGTGGCTCGACCGGCTGGAGCATTGTCTGGTAGAACGAAATGTCTTCGGTTTGATCCTCGGTCGGGGCACGTACGAAAAGGCAAACCATCAATGTTTCTCTCTCACATCAATTTGTTTTCTCCCTCTCTCCCTCCCCCTTCCTCTCTCTTTAAAGCAATGAAAAAAAATGTCCTCAGGTGAAGATTAAAAAAAATTTTTTAAGACTGGAGAAAATGGTACAGTAGTTCCTCAAGAAAAATGAAACAGAGCTACCATGTGATCCAGAAAATTTCTCTTCTGAGTGTGCACCCCAGAGAGTTGGGAGCAGGGACTTGAGGAGGTATTTGTCCACCCACGTTCATAGCAGCCTTACTCGCAATAGCCAAAAGGAGGAAGCAGCCCCAGTGTCCGTGGGCAGATGAGCAGGTAAACAAATGCAGTGTATCACATAATGGAATGTCATTCAGCCTTCAAGAGAAGGTAAGCTCTGGTCAAGTGCCTTGGTTGGTTGGAGCATCATTCCTTACACCAAAAGGTTTGGGGTTCAATCCCCTCGGTCAGGGTGCACACAGGAGGCACTGATGTTTCTCTCTTTCTCACTCTCTCTGAAATCAATAAAAAAACATGTTTTTGGATGAAGACTTTTTAAAAAGGTAATTCTGACTCCATCCCACAACATGGATGAACCTTGAGGACATTGTGCTAAGTGAAACGAGCCAGTCAGAGAAGGACAGGCACCATGTGACCCCACTTACATGAGGTCCCTGGGGTGGTCGGACTCATAGAGACAGAAAACAGAGGTTGCCAGAGGCTGGGGTGAGGGGCGACTGGGGAGTTCAGTGCTTAAGGAGCACAGAGTTCCAGCTGGGGGGGTGAGAACGTTCTGGAGACAGGTGCTGGAGACGGCCACACAGCAACGTGGACGTCCCCAATGCCACAGAACGGTGCACTAACGACGGTTAAGTGGACCGAAAGTAAGGCTAATGGAGATAATCCGACACAGGAAGCACATGACTTCTGAGTCAGACGGAAGGAAGATGCCTGAATTAACACGTCAGAGCCACGCTTCACTGGCGCCACAGCACCGGCGGCAGCATCACAACCGGCTTTCACCTGTCAAAGTGGCCGGGCCCCTGGCTGCCCCTCCTTCCCCATCGCTGTCACTCCATTCAGCAAGTGACAGGTAAGGTCCCATTACTCACCTTCCTCCTGGCAGAGTGGGAAGGGTTTGGGATGGAGCGTCAAGGCCTGAGTTTCAATGCCTTGCCCTCTCTGGGCCTCAGTTTCCCCCGGTTAGCATGGCGGATGGGAGGAAGCTGGAAATTCCAGAGTTCCTTCCGGCTGGATGTTTGGCTGTTCCCAGCTCCCAGCTCGTGCGGCTCCCGTCTGCTCGTGCCGAGTGCGCGGGCCTTGCTTCGGTGGTGGTTTCCTGTTTTCGTCCTCTTGCTTCCCCTCCTGCTCTGCTAGGAGGTGACAGATACAGAAGCGTGGGGCTGCCGTTCTGTCCAGGGGCCCACGTGCATATGACCTCGGCCCTCTGCGCTGGGCTGTGCATGTGAGCCCGGCCAGAGCTGATACGCGGGGGAAGGGACGGTGTATCCCTTCCCTCTGGAGCTCGCATCTGGGGTTCACGTGGGATCTCACTCAGTGCAGTTCTCCCTCCTCAGCTGCAGGGGGACTTCCCACACATTCCCACGGAGCTTCCTCTCCTTCGCAGACGTGTAGGAGTTTCTCTCTTCCCTTGGTATTCTTTTGGTAAAATGGAATGTGTAGCACCTAATAGACACACATGTAACACACATGTACATTACATGCAGCATAATAATATGGACAGCCTTGAACCCACCACTCAACACGAGGATGATTCCTAAATCTTGCATCTACCTGTGTGTTTTACATCCCACCCAGATGTAACCACCTTCCCGAATTGGGGGGTTATTGTTCTCTTGATTTTTTATTCTTTATCACAAATATGGGTCTGTGTGTGTATGAAGCAGTTACATAACATTTACTATGTGCTAGGCATGCTTTAAATACTTAAAAATATTAACTTGCCCTGACCGGTGTGGCTCAGTGGGTTAAGCATGCAGCAAACCCAAAATGTAGCTGGTTCGATCTCGGTCAGGGCACACGCCTGGTCTGCAGGCCAGGTCCTTGGCTGGGTGCGTGACAGAGGAAACCGATCCATGTGTCTCTCTCCTTTTCTCCCGCCCTTCCTCTCTCTCTGAAAAATATATAAAATCTGTAATTAAAAACATTAAAATGTTAACTCACTGTGTTTAATCCATACAACAACCCTAAGAGGAAGGTACTATTATTAATCCCGTTTTACAGAAGCAGACACTGATAAGTGACTTGATCAAAATCACCCAGATAACAGAGGCCAGCATGGGACTTGTCTCCTGGTTCTTAGTGCAGAAGCTTCTCTGGGGCGTATATCTGGGAGTGGAATTGTGGGTGACAGGGAACAAGAATATTCAGCCTTACAAGGTGGTACCTGGTGATTTCCCAGACGACTAATACACCCTCTCACCAGCAGTTATAAGTGTTTCCATTGCCCTAGAACCCTCCAGCATTTGGTTCTTGTTAGATTCTTAGCTTTTGCCTATCCGGTAGATATCAAATGGTATCCACTGTGATTTTAATTTAGAATTTTCTGGCTACCATTGAGTTAAAACTTCTTTTTTATTTGTTTATACTTGTTTTCTTTTCTCTGAAATGCGCATATGTATCTTTAATGTAATCAAAGTTGACAGATGTTTAGTTTATGATTAGCGTTTTGGGGATCTTGCTTAAGAAATCCTTCCCTGCTCAGAAAACAAAAAAAATATTCTACTACATAGCCTTATAAAACTTTTTAACGTGTTCTTTCACAAGTCCTGCATCTGGATGGAACTGATTTCTACATTTGATGTAAAGTTGGAATATGTTTCCCTCTATTTTTCTCCATGTAGTTTTATACAGGGTTTTGCTGGGCTCTTTATTTCCTTCTGGTTAATTTGTCTACATCTACACTAACACTGTGTTTTATAATGTCTTTTTTATAATAAATCTAATAGAGCAAATCTCCTTCCCTTAATGTTGTTTAGGGGCATTTTGGTCCTTTTGCTCTTCCATGTGAGTTTTAAGAATCAGCTTTCAATTTTCATGCAAAACTGAGATTAACTGCAATTGTACTGCATCTGTACATTAGTCAGGGGAGGACTGATATCTCTATGGTATTGAACCCGCTGTTCATTTACATGAGCTATCTCTCCATTTACTTAGATTGTATTAAATGTCTTTCAATAGGGTTTCATGATTTTTTACTGTAGGTCATATACATGGTTCGCTAGATTATTCCTATTTTTCCTATTATAAATGATTTTTCAGACTGCATATTTTCTCTTCTTAAATCTGTTCACGTAAGTCTTTAGTCTGGGCTCCTTCAAAAGAAGAGCCTGGAGCAAGGACGAAGGTTCAGGTAGGTTACTTGAGACGTGATTCCGGGGAGCAGGGAGGCTGAAACAGGGAAGGAGGGAAAAGCCATGTTAAAGGTGCGTGCCTGGTGATGCTGTAGGCCGAGGGAGCTCAGTCCCGCTGGGACCTCTTACAAACCTTAGAAGCTGCCGCCCACAATTGTCCGTGGGAAAGCAGGAAGCTGGAGCACGCCTTCGGCTCCTGCCCCTCCCCGTGTAAGGCTACAAATTACGGAACTTCATTCTCCTGCATGATAAGTGGCTCGTTCAGTGGCACTGAAGAGGCAAAAAGCAAAAAGGAACACTGTGTAAACCTGAGGTGGGACATTGGCAACGTAAGGTGAGTCAAAGCTCGCATGGTACTGTCCGCCGTGACTGCAGCTGGTGTCAGAAGAGGGTGAAAGGGAGGTGACACAGGACACCCAAGTTTGCTCTTATGGAGGGAGTAAACGCCCTATGAACGTGTTTTTTGGAGACAGGCTGTGCTTGGATGTGCTCTTATGTTTACACATTGCTAGATTTGGGTTGCTAGTATTTTTTCTAATCCTTGCATCTATGTTTGTGAGTGAGATTGACTTCTAATTTTTCTTTCTCATTCTGTACTTGCCTCATTTTCGTGTGAAGGTCATGCCGGCCTCACAGAATTAGAGAGCGTTCCCGATTTTCCCATTTTCAGAAAGAGGTTGTATAAAATTAGAATTATCTCCATTTAAACTTCTATAAAACTATCTGGAGCATGGATTTTCTTTGTGGGAAGTTTTAAAATTACTGATTCAACTTTTTAATAGTTATAGAATCATTTGGGCTTTTAATTTCTTCTTAAATCAAGTTTCGTTATACTTTTCTAATGTTCGGTCTACTTTCCTTCATATTTCTTGGCATAAATTATGTATAGTCATTTTTTATCTTTAATCGTGGTAAAATACACATAACCCAAGATGTTCCATCTTATCTGTGCTTTTGTCTGCTTCATTAATCACAGTTGAGAGATATATATTAAAATGTCTTGCTGTGATGGTGGTTTTATCTCTTTGTAGGTTTTTCAAGATAGATCCTTACAAGTTTAGAACTGTTTAAACTTCCTGGGGAATTGACCTTTAATTTAGGTATTCTATCCCTAATAAATATTTCTGTCCTAAAAGTCTTCTTTGTCTGATAGCAATAATTACTTGTGGTAAGTGCAAACGATTGTTTTGCGGCCAATCTCTGGCGTTTTCTTATACAAAACAGAAACTCTACCGGGGAAACAATTCCTCACTTCCCCTCCCCAACGACAACACCCAGCAACTTCTGGTCTACTTTCCCTCCCTATGAATTTGTAAGGTCTTCTTCTTAATGTCCCTATTTCCATTCCTAATAACGTTCACTGGTGCTTTCTTGTGTTTCTGAATAGATTTTACCAGAGATTTTCCCATTCTATCTGTTTTTTCAAGGACTAACTTTTGGCTTTGTATTGGTCCTCTTTTATTTCCCATGTTATCGATTTCTGCTCATTAGTATTCGCTTTGAGTTCACTTTCGGGTTTGCTTTGTTCTGTTTACTTTGGTTTCTTCTCTTCATTCCTTTGTGTCTCCTTTGTTTTTCTTTTCTGACTTCCTGACTGCTTACTTACATTGGGTGCTTATTTCAGACTCGTTTCTAATACAAGCATTTAAGGCTATAAATTTCCCTCTAAGTATCACGCTTGATGCATCCCATACATTTCAATACATTGTTTTTTCATTACCATTCAATTCAATAGGTTTTAAAGTGGGTTATTTCTATTTTTTTCTTTGACCCATGGGTTGCTTAGAGCCTATTTTTATATTACCAAATATATAGAATTTTAAAACTTATATTTAAAAAAAAACTTGTGTTTTTTTAATTTATAGGTACCTATTAAGCTTTTAAACTGTGTGTTTTAGCTCTTCTATTCATTTCCTGACTTTTTTGTCTGCTTTGTTATTCATAGTTGAAGGAAGTGTACTAAGATTTCTTGCTATGATGGTGGTTTTTTTTCTCTTTATGGTTTTTCTTTCTTTCTTTGAAGCTAGATGCCTACCCGTTTACAACTACTATAATTTTCTGGTGAACTGACATTTTCGCTTAGGCATGTACACTATTCCGAATGGGTGTTTTTATCTCACAAGTCCTTTAAGTTGGGTATCAATAGCACTTTCCTGGCTTTCTTCCGGTCAGTGTTTGCCTGGCAGGTCTTTCTTCCACCCTTTGACCTTCGCCCCTTCCATACTCATGGGTTGGGTGTGTCTCATAAACAACACAGAACTGGGTTTGGGGTTTTAATTTTTTTTTATTTTTTAATTTTATTTAGTTATTTTTCAAGTACGGTTGTTTTTTTTTTTTTGTCTATTTCTCCCATCCCAGCCTCCCCCATGATATTTTTAAAATCTAAACTGAGATGAGCAATTAAGAATGATTGAGTCCATGACTTTCACTAAATGCTGCTCCACAAATTGAGTTGAAAAGCCTGATTTTCAGCATCAATCTATAGCTGGCAGGAACCCTAACCCAGAAGATTCTTTTCTGAAGTAGTGTTTGAACTACAAGAAAGTTTAAACGTTTGTAATAGACTTTATTTTCTGAGAGCAGTTTTAGGTTCACAACAAAATCGGGACGGTACAGAGATTCCTCATATATCCCACCCCTGCCCCACTTATACAGCCACCCCATTGTCAACATCCCCCAGCACAGAGGTACATTTGTTACTTTCCGTGAACCTACACTGGCACATCATTGTCACCCAAAGTCTGTAGTTTACATCAGGGTTCACTCTTGGTGTGGTACATTCCATGGGTTTGGACAAATGTATCGTGACATTTGTCCAACCATTCAAGTAACAAAGAGAATAGTTTCACTACCCCAAAAATTATGTCCCACCCACTTATCCCTCTCCTCCCGCCCCAACCCCTGGCAACACTGATGAGCCAGCCACCCTCTGGTCATCCCCAAGTCTTCATCTCCGCTCTCTTGCCTGCTGGCTGCAAGCACGTTATTAACTCACCTGAGCCACTGTTCTCGTATGCGCCATCAGAATGGCTCTCTTTTTTTGTAGTTTGGTGTGATAATTAAATAAAATAATGCATTAAAACCTTTAGCTTAGTGCCTAGCAAAGAATAGATAACAGCTAAATGTTAGTTCCCTTTTTTCTTCCTCCTTCTCTTAGCAACCTGAGGCCACGTTTTGCAGAGAAGAGGTACAGGAAAGGACTCGGGTGATGGTGTACGTCACCAGAAATCTAAATACGGGGAGGAGAGGGAAAAAGAAGGGGGAGAGCTTCCAGCTGCCACCTCCCAAACTTTTCCAACTTGGAAAATCCCTCCCTTCCTGCTCTCTCTCAGGAGTGTTACAATCCACGCATATCCATTTCCTCAGTCCAACTCCTTAACCTGCATCTGATAAATACCCAGATGCACTCTGTCCTCAAAGTGGAAGTCAGATGATTCAGCACCAAGCCGTGTGTACAAGACAGCAGGTAGCTGGGGCGTCAGAGAGAATGAAGGGCCAGGTCATGCTCGTTTGTTGTCACATCGAATCCTGGGATTCCCAAGGGAACCGGCCTGAACCACGGGATTTGTCAGGACCACAGGCCCAAGCTCTGTTCCTCTTCTCCCAGCAGTTCTGCTGAGGCTGATGTGTGCACACGAGGCTTCATCTTTTGCATTAAATGCAGGCATCAGACAGTCACTGATTAGCAGGGGGAAAGGCAAAAAATAATTGCACAACCTCTGTCTTTTAACTGCAGCTAAAATTTTGATCTTTATTGCGATCATTAACAAACATCTTTTTTAAAATTTACATTTGTCCCACTTTTTCAATGCTTTTATCCTCATTTAATTTTTTGATTGGTTGAAGGTTGTCTGTTTTGATACCATTTTAATCTCCTCTCGTGGTTTATGGCTTATAAACTCTCTTTCTCTCTTAAGTTTCCTTGAAATTTTACCATGCTGGTACCACTTCCAGTGCACCCTCCTTTCTATACCACACGGGAATCTAGAATGTAATCCCCTCACATATTATTGCCCAGTATTTTAGCTTTGAACTTTTAGGAACTTCTTGAATTGCAGACAGTGATTGCTGGGAGTTACATACTCACATGCCATTTTACTTCTTCATCCTTCCTTCTTGCATAGAAAAGTGTCCTGTGGCCATTTGGAACTCTGCCTGACACCTATCTTTAAAGATCCTTTAGTGTAGACATCTTGGGAATAAGCTCACTCAATCTCTGTTTATCAGTATCCTTATCTCACCTTGGTCCTGAAACTGGAAGAGCCGGCGTCCGTGCTGCCTGTCACCTACCAGACCCAATAAGCAGAGACAGGGATTGAATCTTTATGGGCGCTTTATTCAGATGGCTGGCGATCTGAGAAGATGGCAGGTTTGTACCCTAACGGTCTGTCTTACTTTTCCTTTCAAACCATCCTTTTTTTCCTTTATTGTTATTCAACTGCAGTTGTCTCCATTTTCCTACCATTACTTCCCCCACCCCACTTACCCCCACCTCCCACTCTCAATCCTACCCGCCTTTGACTTTGTGCGTGTGTCCCCTATACATGTTCCTTGATGACCCTTCCCTTCCTTTTCCCTAGTATTCCCCTACTCCCTCCCCTCTGGTCAGTTTGTTCTTTATTTCAATATCTCTGGTTTATTTTGCTTGCTTGTTTGTTTTTTAATTAGGTTCTACTTATAGGTGAGGTCATATGGTATTTGTCTTTCACCACCTGGCTTATTTCACTTAGCACAATGTTCTCCAATTCCATTCATAGTGTTGCGAAGGTAGGAGCTCCTTTTTTCTGCTGCATAGTATTCCATTGAGTAAATGTACCACAGTTTTTTGATCCACTCATTTACTGATGGGCACGTAGGTTGCTTCCAACACTTGGCTATTGTAAATTGTGCTGCTGTGAATATTGGGGTGCATAGGTTCTTTTGAACTGGTGAAAATCTCAGATGTTCCACATAGCAATATTTTCACCATTATGTCCCCTAGAGTAAGGGCATAAAGGAAAGAATAAACAAATGAGACTTCGTCAAAACAAAAATCTTCTGCACAGCTAAAGAAAACATCAGCAAAATAAAAAGGGGACCGGTTGTATGGGAAAATATATTTGCCAATGATACCTAGGACAAGGGTTTGATCTCTAAAATATATAAAGAACTCACAGGACTCTACTCTAAGAATACAAAAAAAACAAATAAAAAATGGGCAAAGGACCTGAACAGACACTTCTCCAAGGAGGACATACAGAGGACACAGAGACATATGAAAGGATGCTCAGCATCACTAGCCATCAGAGAGATGCAAATTAAAACCACAGTGAGGTACCACTTCACACCGGTCAGAATGGCCAACATAAACAAATCAACAAACAGGTGTTGGAGAGGATGTGGAGAAAAGGGAACCCTAGTGCACTGTTCGTGGGAATGCAGACTGGTGCAGCCACTTTGGAAACCAGTATGGAATGTCCTCAAAAAACTAAAAATGGAATCAAGCCAGCCTCTTTTTTTAAGAGGGCAGAAGTGTAGGTAAGGGGTCTGGAATTCAAGGGAAAAAAGTGTAGGTAAAGGATTTGGAATTCAGGAAAGAGGTTAATGAGATAAACCCTGCAGTCTGGCAATTTCCCCAACATCCTTCCATCCACTGACCTGTCATTTTCTTCATCTGGGTCCTGGGTCCTGGGTCCCGGGTGATTTTCTTCACCTGTGTCCTGGGAGGCAGATTCTCTCCCTGGAGCACAATGGCTCGGTTGCCACCTTGACTGCTTGTGGTCTCTTCTGGGGCACATGGCTTGTGCTCTCCTTGAGTCAGGGGGAGCCGTACCTGCAGTTCCTGAAACAACAGCTTTTCACATGCATTAACTACTAGGCTTATTAACTATTATCTGAAACTAAAATTTTCCGACTCCTGAGTTTCCCCACTGGTCCTGGAAAGATGGTTTTGCCAAGAACACAGTTCTAGTCTGAAAGTTGTTTTCCTTCGACAGGAATATGAGTGATAGAAGTCCCCTCATTAAGACCCAGTTGGACCCTGTGGAAGAGATGAGTTCACTTCCTAAACTGAGGCTCCAACCTCCCCTTCCTTTCCAGTTCTCGGGTATCTTCCAGAACCCACGATCCCCCCCATGGTGCCCAGCTACTGCTTTCCTGTACACATAGCTCAGCTCTAAGTCATCTGGCTTCTGGACCCATTAAAGGACAAACAGTGCTTCTGTGTATTTCAGACTCAGGTTGAAGGAGTTAAGACTCAGAAAACGAATTGTGTGGATTGTAATATTCCTGACAGGGAGCAGGAAGGGAGGGATTTTCCAAGGAGGAGTGAGGGTCTGGGAGGCAGTAGCTGGAAGTTTTTGGTCTTGCTCTCCCCTCCCTGCCCCTGCTTTTGTCCGTTCTGCTGAGGAACTCAGAGCCCTAAAGAATAAGCCAGGGAGTATATGAGGGTGAAACAGTGGTCTGGGAAGGAAGACCTGAGTTTCTTCTCTCCTCCACACGAAGGTCGGTTTCCTCCATCTCCGGGCAACTCCCAGTGTCAGGAAGCTTTGCTCATTCTCTTTTGTTTGGAAGTGCTGATCAGGGCATCCTAGGACCTGCCGTCACCCCCAAATCCTCTTCACTCTCTCCCAGAAGGCCTCTGGCCTCACGCAAGTAGTCACCTCCTCCCCCATGTCACCTTCCCGCCCGAAAGCTCTGCAAGGCCGAACACGCCTTGCGGTTACTCCCCTGCACAATGACCTGCAGTAGCCCTGACCCTCCCTGAGCAGGTTTGAAGGGCAAGAACCGCCCACCGATGTCCAGCCTGAAAAGCTCTTTCGTTTCTGCAACACAGAACCATCACCAGCCACAACCCAGCCCTCCAGCCTCTGAAGTCCACCCCGCCGAACCCCCAGCCAGCACGTTACCTGTCACCGTTCGGTTCAGCTTCCATCCACCACTGAGCCGTCCTTCTGTCGGCTTCGCAGGTAGGTGAGCGGTAGAGCGCTTGCTGTTCGGACCAGAAAGGGGAGGGTTTGTTCCTGCCAGCTGTTTCAGAAAGTCTCAGGAAAAACCAGTCCCCACCTAACTCCGAACACCTGTCCTCGTCCTCGGAGACCCAGGAGCCTCCGTTGTTCTCTGCTTCTGCTGTCAGCCCAACTGTAGCTGGGGGGCAGCTGAGGCATCCACAGAAGGAGAAAGATATGCTGAGTGGGCCCAGAAGCAAGGTTGCACGGGGCTTGTTTACCAAGACTACTGTCTTTCATTCATTTGCTAATCCACCCACCCATCCATCCATCCATCTACCAACTGAACAGAAATTAAGTGCCCACTGTGTGCCAGCGGGTGTCATTTCCTGCTGGAGATAGCAGAGCACGTGGTCCAGCTTCCGTCCTCTTGTGTGGACAGGCCAGCAGGAACGCAGGGGAGACTGACGTGTAAGCTCTCGGACCAAGGTCCACATGTCTCACAAGGAGGGCCTGCCCAGGGGCATGGGAGAGAGATCGAAGGAGGAGTTGGTGGGGAGAATGGGCCTGGTGGGCTCAGGGCAGGACCTGCGGGCCGCAGAAGCCTCACTAAGGCCCACAGGTGTGGAGTCAGGCTGGCCCAGCTGCAAGTGTGGCCGGGTTCACAGGCGCTGCCCCTTCTAGAGACTCTGGATGTGAACCAACCCGCCCTTCCCAAAGCTCTCATGGCAAGGAAGGCCCTGGCAATTTCTCTGGCCTTCTGCTGCCTTGCACTTCCCTCCCAAGGTTCTGCTGGGGGTCCAGCGCCCAGGAATCCTTCTGTTGCCCCTGCTCTGGTGGGTTTCAGGGGTCTCCAGGCTGCCTCTCACTCATTACGTTCACTCGTTCTCTCCTAAGTGTGTGTGACTTTGGGCAAACCACTTAAATTGCCCCGTGACTCAGTTTTCCCACCCGTAAAATGGGGACATAACGGTACCTACCTCCTAGAGTTGGGGGATTTAATTAGTTAATACTCATAGAGTGCTTATGACCTGTAGTCAGTAAATGTTCACTGTTGCATTATTGTTATTATTTTTGTAGTTATTGTTTATTATTATTATTACTATTATTATTACCGTTGTTATTACTGTTCAGGCCTGGTGGAGGCCACAGAGTTGCCACATAGCAGGGCCCGCTGCCTGGCCCCCTGGGGCTGCCGCTTGGGTTGGAGGTGCGTCTCCTGCAGCCGCAGGTGGGCTCAGACCCCTGCGCTGGGGATTGGTTCCACCCTCCCCTCCATCTCCTCTCTGTATCATTCCAAGGCCCAGCAGCCTGTCCCGGGCTTCCTGGGTCCCCGCTGACAAGGGCAGCACTTGATGACTGCACTATGGTGACAGCCTTTGGCCTCCTCAGCCCAGAGAAGGCTGTGACCTCACCCCACCCTCCCAAGCCAGCAGTGAGGTTTGGGCTGAGCCCTGAAAAGGCTGGGGCATCCCTTTGGAAACGCCACAGCTGGGGTGCTTCCTAGGCTGGCCGGTCCCAGGGCCTCCTGGCCAGACCCACCCCACGGACAGAACCCCCCTCTCACCGGCTTTCTGCTTGTGAGGGTCCCTGCAACCGGTGACAAAGCCTCCTAGAAACATACTGCAACTTGCCAGGCTTCAAACCCTCACGCCAAGCCTCCCTGTCTACAGGGGTGACCCCCATAAGCCCGGTTCGAAAATGGGAGGCTGAGGATTTGGGTTACAGCCAGCCTGACCCCCATTACCTCTGTCCGTGGGGACTATCATGGGAACATTTCCAGAGGCTCTGGTCCTCAGTGTCCCTGTATCAGCTGAGTCACTGGTAGGTTGACAAGGAAAGCTGAGTAGTGTGTTCAGGTTTAAGTAGAGTTGTCCTCCACTGTTAGCTGGAGCTCCTCCAATTCCCACCCACGTGTCCCTAGAAAATCCCAGCTCTTTATCTGCTGTGTTATGGTGACTTTGTTATGTCCCGGACAGGTCCTGACTTCAGATAATTTCTTTCCAGAGGGGGCCCCAGCAATGTGTTTTGTGAGATTCGGGGTCCCCAGATCTGGGGCTTGCAGTCATTCCTGTCTCCTGCGTCCACACAGTGTGCCAGAATCCTGTGTGCATGCATGTCATTCACACGCATGCACATGCTTGTCCACGCACGGGCACTCTTCAGCACCCTGACCTCACCGGAGCAGGGCCTAGACTCAGGTTATGCCCTTGCTTATCAGCAGTGCCCAGCTTCCTCTGCCTGGGTTCCTGCAAGCCCAGATCCGGGGCCCGCCTTCCACATGGCTTCCCTAGGGCCACTCAGATAATAAGAGGAAATACAGTCACCCGCTCACAAAAGGCTGGAGGTGCAAGCGCTTTGACGGTAGGCCACCACTCCTCAATCTGCATCCTGTCTCTGCAGTCTACCGCCGTCCTCCGCGTGGAGATGTCTCCTTCTGGCTGCTGGGGCCTGCCCGTGGCCCTTCTGGCCTTGCTCTTCTGCCCAGGTGAGCCAGTGCCCGGGGTTCCTGGCTTGGCACGTGCTGGGCCAGGGGCGGGGGCTGCCTGCTCTGCTGGCTTTAGGTTGGGGGGTGGTGCTGACCCTAAAGTCTCTGAGGTTTTGAACACAGTGGTCGGCCACAGTGGGTACCGGATGCTGTGGCAACCTGGTTTCTGTACGACCCAGGCATCAGGGGCGCATCCTGGCCTTCCGGATACCAGGTGGAACAACCCCATGGCGTCACAGCATGCAGATGTGGCAGGTCATGGAGGCTACATGGTGGGCTGGGGAGGGGCTTAAGGAGGTGAAGGGAGCTGGGGTTTGAGAGAAGGTAAGGGTGTGCCCCAGCTGATCTTCAGATGTGGCCTGTGGGACAGAGAGGGCAGTAGGGGGCCTCCCCTTCTGGCTGTCCTCAGAGCTAAAGTAAAGCCCCTTTTAGTGGGTCAGGGGCACTGAGAGGGAAACTGCCACCATGTGCCTAGCACTCTGTTTTGGATAAGCTGCCAGGTGCTTTTAAAGGGCTATTTCATTGAACCTTCCTTTGGGAAAGGATTTACTAGCCCATTTTACAGATGAAGAAACTGAGGTTCAGAGAGAGAAAGCACCTTGCCTAAGGTCACATACCTGGTGCATGGTGAACTCAAGATTCCAATCCAGCTCTGCCTTCCTGCCAAGCCCCTCTCTTGCCACTTCACTATACAGCAGGATCTGAGGGCTGAGTTGTGGCGTGGGGGCGTGGCACTAGCACAGGACACAGGCTGGGCCTGCCGGGTCAGATCGAGGACCTTCCTGGTCATTGCCGAGGGAGACATGAGTGCTGAAGACTCGACCTTCATGCATCAGATATTCCTGAGTCCGTCACACACAGAGCACTGTGCTAAGCACAGTAATAAATAGGGTCCTGCCTTCTAGAAGCTCCAGAGCAGCTGAGGGAGAGTCAACACGAATGTGAACCACTGGTGCAGTGAGTCACAGGCCAGGTGGTTCCATCTCCTTGGTGACCTCCTCTTCCCCTGTCTTTGTCCTCACTGAGCTCCAACACCCTGGACACCTCACTATTCCTCCAACACACCAAGCACACCCCTGACCCAGGGCATTGAGCTGGCAGTTGCCTCTCCCCAGAACCCTCTGCCCCCAGTATCTGCGGGGCTCACCCCCAACCCCCTCATGCCTTTGCTCAAATGTCGTTACCTTGGTGAGGCCTGTGCTAAGATGCCCCACCCCCGCCCCGCCACTTTCTGTTTCATTTCTCAGGCACTTGTCACCACCTGATGGGCTGGATAGTTGTTTATTATTGTCTGTTTCCTTCATTAGAATGTAAGTCTCTGCAGAGGCAGGGTTAGGTCTGCTTCGTTCACTGCTGCAGAGTCTAGAACAGTACCTGGCACATAGCAGGTGTTCAAACAGTATTTGAGGAAGACGGGAAGGAGGGAGGGAGGGAGGGGTCGAACCCCAGGCCGCAGAAACTCAGGAGACAGAGCCCACCTCCTTCTCAGAGAGGCCTTCATGGAGGAGGGCACATTCGGGCTGGGCCTTGAGTGTTGTATAGGATCTCTCTCCACAGAGATAGAAGATGTGCATGAGGTGCACCTCTTCTGGAGATGACGGGCTGGAGGAAGGACAACCAACGTCATGGAGACAGCCCGGGGGCTTCCTCCTCGGTCTAGACGCAGGGCCTGAATGAAGGTCAAGGGTCAAGGAGCAGAAGGAGTCCCTTGGTCAGACTGCCAGTGGTGGGCAGCTCCCCTGGGCAGAAGGATGAGGACATCTGCTGCCCAGCGTTTCTGGTCCTCCAGGGTCTGCTGAGGAGTTCGAAGTAAGGATGTGCCCAGAGCAGCTGGCGGTGGAGCACGGAGGGTCCGAGGTGATCAACTGCAGTACCACCTGTCCCAGGCCTGAAACTGGTGGTGTGGAGACCTCCCTAAATAAGACTTTGCTGAAGGAAGAAACTCAGTGGAAACAGTACAAGGTGTTTGGCGTCTCCCAGGACACGGTCGTGTATTGCTACTTCATCTGCTCCAAGAAGCAGATATCGGCGTCCGTCAACTTCAGTGTGTTTTGTGAGTGCTCCACACTCTCTCCAGGGCAGATCCTGTGTCTGCCCAGTGTTCCTGCTCCTGGCCACTCCCGTCACGGCCCCCACCTTCCTGGGCTCCTGAGGTGACAGAGCCAGACCCAGGCCAGGAGCCCAGCATCTGCTCACACCCCTCCCTGGCCTCCCTGAGCCTCCTGGCAGCCCCGGTTTGGGGGCTTGCTCAGAGGAGGGTGGTCCAGGCAAGAGGCGCCCCAGAGCAGTGGCGGCACTGTCAGGAGGGCTGCATGCTCTTCAGTGTCCCCTTCAGCTCATTGAGTCACCAGGTGCTTTTATCTTCCCCTGAGGGTCCTCAGCAAAGGAGGGACCCACACACACACACACACACACACACACACACACACACACACACATACCCCTGCGCATGAGCCATGGAGACCTCCTGACAGGCTGGGATTCTCTCAACATCTTGGCACTAAGGGTATCGCTTGGGTCCTCCCCCTTACTGACATCAGTGGGTCCAAAGAATAGAAAGATGTCCTAAATGCAACAGAGCATCCCGGGGTGATGGAGGCGAGGTATTCTGGTTCAAAGGGAAATCCAGACCACACCGAGGGCTCTGTTTGATGAGGGATCAAGGCAGCTGTGAACCTGACCCTGGAGACTAAGGCAGGTCTGACTTCAGCCCCGACCCCTTAAGTGAGAACCTCACAGTTCATGGTCCAGTTCCCATGATCACTCCCTTCTAAGTCTCTGCACATAATTATCCAACTGTTTCATTTTTGAAATTAGTTTTTAATTTCTGGAGAGAAAGCAGGCAGATGCAAACATTTATATCTCTCTGGTTGGCCCCACAGTTTCTGGACCCTCTCTTTGTAAGACACCTGACCATCCCCGTCCTTATCCATATTCAGAAGCTGTCACATTTGTGGAACTACCACCCAGCACACCTCTCACCCTGAACTGCTTCCTTCTTTCCCTCTTTACACTATAGAGCAGGCCAGGCCCCAGCCGACATCCTCCCCCTCAAGTCCAGCCAGGGACCCAAGAACACAGTGCTGATGGGGGGTGCTCGTGGCCAGGTGGGCCCCCTGGGACCACACCCCCATCTAACCAGACCTCCCCTGGCCTTCCCTGCAGACCCTCCAAAGGAGGTGCTGATGACGGTGCAGCCCATTTGGGTGATTATGGGTGAATCTTTCATCATTGAGTGCAAGGTGCCCGAGGTGGCACCCCTGGACAAACTCACCCTCACCTTGCTCCGTGGCAACGAGTCCCTGCACCAGCAGACCTTTGAGGGGGCAACAGGCACCCCACAAGAAGCCATGACAACATACAACAGAACAGCCCAAAGAGAGGATGAGCTCTACAACTTCTCGTGCCAGGCCGAGCTGGACCTGCGGTCTCGCGGTGGGAAAATCATTCGCACAACATCAGAGTCCCAGGGGCTCAAGATCCATGGTGAGGGGAAGCCCCCAGGATAGAGGGAGGGAAGGACAGGGTGCTCATTTTAGGCCCCTGGGGAAATCAAAACCTTAGCCCACTCTTTGCCAGCTCAGAGGGGCAGGCACCCAAGGACCCCACACCCAGTGCTGAGGGTCCCTGTTATACTCCTTCCTCCCTGAAGTCCCCAGTGTGGACCTCAAGTAGTTCTTTGGCCATTAGTGAGCTGTGTGACCTTGACCAAGTCAACTTCCTTTCTCTGGCCATGGCTCCTCTCTACAAGGAAAAGTTTGAACTAACTGACCCCTAAGGTCTCCTAGAACTTCACTGTTCTGTGAGTCTTGATGGCCAAGATGCTCCCTGTCTTCAGAGAGTTTGGTAGAAACTCCCTCAGCTCTGCCCAGGGAGGTGGTGGTCTGGGCCACACCACTGTCCAGGCCATGGTAACCAGAGACCACATGCTGGTGCCAAGGGCTGATGTCGGGGGAGACATCTGCCCTCACAGTCTCACCGAGGCCTGGCTGGTGGCCTGGACCCCAGCATACCTGTCCCCTCGTTAGTGCACCCATTGCCACTCATCTCTGTCACACAGGGTGGCGGCAGGATGGACGATGGGGTGGGTGGGTGCTGGGTGGGTCTCCACTCCCCCTCGGCCCCTGGGCACCTAGGACCAGAGGACTTCTAGGACCGCTGCCCCCTTCTTCCCTAGAGCCCAAGCAGTCCAAGCAGATGCTCATCATCATCGTGGTTGTGTCAGTGCTGCTGTCGTTGTTTGTGACATCCGTCCTGCTGTGCTTTGTCTTCGGCCAGCAGTGGCACCAGAGGCGAAGAGGCAGTTACGGGGTGCAAGCAGCTTGGAGGAGGCTGAGACGGGCCTACCGCGCATAGACTACCCGGGGCACGGCCCCCACCGCGACAGCCACTGGGACTCATTGTGGCTCCTCAGGGCTGTGGTCCAGCCCTGGCCGAAGGACAATGACAAGCAGCAGAGGACTTGGGGGACGTTTTCTTTTCTAGTCTGAATACAAACACCTGGACTTAACTTTGTGCCTCAGTGTCTTCTCCTGGGAGAATACTCAGCTGCCAGGGAGGTCACGCATGAGACCCAGACCTCTGTTCCCAGGTACCTCCTCAGTGTCCCTCCACCCTCTCCTTCACAGGGGCCTTCCCAGCCAGCCCAGGCCCTGGGGCACTCCCGTGCTGACCAGTCAGCCCAGGCACCTGACGCCCACCCTCACCGGGCTGGCTGGGAAACCTAACAAATTCCCTCTGAGGGAGCGTTGGGGAGATGCACCCCGGGCTGGTGGGGCAGAAACGCTGTGCCCCGAGTGGCCCTCCAGAAACTCAGGCCACACCCAGCTGCACCGGGACAGGGCCAACAGGAAGCTGGGGCGAGGGAGGGTGGGGGCCCCAGAGGAACTGGCACAGCCCCAGGGCCCTCCCGGTCAAGACTCCCATATCAACCTTGGCCTTCAGAGAGCTGTGGACACAGAAGCAGTCTTCTCTCCACCTGCTCCATTCTCAGCCCAGACTGAGACCCTGTAGCCCTTGCCAGGGAAGGGGTGGGAATGGAGGGTTTGGGGGGGTCAGGCTCCCAGCTACCCCCAAGCTGTAGAGCAGTGTTGGTTTTCCTGTGGCTGGGCCTTGAACGGTGCTCCAATGAGCTCTTCCCCCAGAGAAGAGATCGGCTGGTTCAGGATCTTAGTGGGATGGAGAGGACACTGATTCAGCTGGGAGGAGAGGCCTCGGTGGGGTTGAGGCTGAGAATGGCTGCCAGGCGTGGCTTCAAGCACTAGTGGGGCACTTGGGTATCCAGGGTTGTTGGCAGCTGGTGTGGGGGGCCAGTGTATGTCTTCATGGCAGGCTCTCAGCATCATAGTAATCTGGGGGGCAGGGGAGAAAGCACCCTTATCTTGACTCCCTCTTGCCTCAGTGGACCCCAAGGAGGGAAAGGGAAGGGGACAGGCCAGTGGCCTGCCGCAGTGACACTAGTAGTCCCCCCTCATAGGAATATGACCCTCCTGACCCATCCTTAGGCCTGGACCCCACTGCCCACCCACCCGGCCCCTACCTGAAGCCGGGGGCACATCCGCACCCACAGTCCCTGTGGCACTGGGGGGTGGGGGTGGGGGCACAGCTCTCCTAAAATGGGGATGAAAAAAATACCCCCATCAGGAGCAGCCTCTGGGGTTTGGTCCACAAGGGTTTCTGCCCCACCCCCAGCCCTGAGACAGATCTTCCAGCCCAGCCAAAGAAGGGCCCTGGCAGCGGCCAGACTGTGAGCTCACTTACACCTCCCTTTTCATGGAGGCCGGAGAGAGCTGCTGAATCCTGGACGTGTCCTGCAGCTGGGGCCGAGGCCAGGGAGGGGAAAGGAAAGGCCCCAGAGCCGGCGCCAGCCAGGGCAGATAGTGGTGATGGAGCACCAACGGCCCTTCCTCCGGGGCTTCCAGCACCTCCTCTTCCTCACCCTCCTCTTCTGGACCCTCCAAGTAGACCTGGGGATTGTGTGGAGCTGGTGACACAGGCCCAGGCTCTCCCTGCCCCGACTGCTCTGTTCCTCTAAGTCATTCTTCCAGGCACACACCCTCCAACAGCTATCTTTGATTGATCTTCACTCCCTGCACACAAGGCCTTGGAGACGTCTATCCCTTATTTCGCAGGTGGGGAAACTGAGGCTCAAAGAGGTTGAGCAACTTGTCTTAGGTCACCAGCTAATAAAAGGCCGAGGAGGGACTGGGAGGACCCAGGAGTGACTCCAGAACTGGGGAGGAGGTCCCGCAAACTGCCCCTGGCCTGTCCCAGGGCCCCTGCAGGGCTCTGCCAGCCTGGGTGGCAGGCAGGGCTCTCACCTCTGATCGTCAAAATCCCACCTGGCTTTCAAGGGCTGGTTCTAAGGCCACTTGCTCCAAGGAGTGTCTCCTCATCCCCCCACCGGGTGAGCACACAGGCAGGGCAGCTCTCCTGCGCCAGCCCTTGTTGTTCTGTATTCATGGTCAATTGTTCATTCATTTACTTGTTGTCAGTGGGGCCCCTGGTAGGTCCCAGGCACCAGGCAGGCCCAACAGCACCTGTCTTCCTGGGCCTGCAGTCCAGTGAGGGACACACTGCAGGGACACCTCCTTGAAAACAAGACCTGAGTGGTCTTAATTTAGGGGCCCCACCCCCACCCAGGGCCTGGCATATAATAGATGCCAAACAGACCCAGTCAGATAGGTGCAGGCTGGCTTCCTGCTGTTTTTTTGCCTGGTCCTTTCTCTCAAGGAGATGTCCCAGATGTATCCCCACGCCTGGACCTGCAGGTGGGCGGCCCCAGTGTCCCACCCCCAGCCTCTGCACCTGCGGGCCAGAGGCAGCTGGCCAGGGGTTCAGCGTGGCCGCCACCAGGCGACTCAGGAGCAGCTGGTTCATCTGTGCGTTCTGCAGCATCATCAGCTCCAGCAGGTCTAGGGGGCCGGGGTTCAGTGGGCGCACCAGGCCCCCCCTCCCCAGCCCTCTGGTCCGACCCCAGGGCCTTTTCCCAGACACCCAGCGCCAGGACGCATAAGAGGGTGGTGAGGCAGCGCCAACACCCGGGCATGTGTGTGGGTAGAGGGAGGTACTGGAGGCGGAGGGATCCCGGAGTCTCACCTTCCTTCACGCGGCTAAGCTGCGGGGGCGATGGTGGGACTGTCCAAGGGAGAGGCTGCAGGATGGGCACCCAGGTCTGGGGGGAGAGGGTGACTCAGGCAGGCTAAGCGGGGAAGGAATTGGGGGCCCCGACCTCCTCCCGCATGCCCCACCCAGTTGCTTCCCTAATTCCTCAGGGGCCTCGACTCCTCTCCGAGTCCCTCTCGGCCTGCCCCCTGCCTGCCAGTCTCTTCCTCTCTCGCTGGGGTCGCTCTCCCGAACCCCCACCGCTCCCTCCGGAGTTGGTAACCCCCTGCCTCCCACCCCCCAGCGGGCACGGCTCCCCAACTCTGCCACCTCCCCAGGCCTCCTCGGTAAAGGCAAGTTCTGCTCCCCGGCTCAGCTCTCACCGTCGGGGCTGCACCCTGTGGTGGGTGAGCTCCCCAGCTCCCTCCAGTCCCAGAGGTCATAGCTAGCTTCCCGGCCAGGGTTGCCTTGGCGACACGACGCCAAAGTCTCTTCCTGGTTAAGCGCAGGTCCCGCCCTGCAGGTTCCAGCTGCCTGGGGCGTTTGCTCGAAGTTGCTGCTTTGTGCTCTCCTCTCTCCATCTCCTAGGACATGGGGTCCCCAGGACCCCATGCCTAGGAAGCCTGTTTTTCCACTGTCCACCTCCAACCGCCCCGGCCCCACCCCCGCCCCTGCACTAGGGCCAGGCATCCGTCCGCTCTGTAAACCTACCCTCGTGCAGCCCCAGTACCCGGCCTGGGGGGTGTGGGGGTGGGGGTTGGGGACCTGTGTTTGGTAAGGGAACACAGCGAGGAGAGTGGTGGGGAAGCCGGCCCTTGACTCCTACACTTTGATTTCAGGTCCCAAAGCCCACTTGGCTAAGAAGGTGAGTTAAGCAGGACGGAAAATTCTGTAGGTTGAGACCAGGGGCGGTGGGCGGGGAGTGAGGAGGGCGGAGGATCCGCCGCCTGCCACTGGGAGTCAGAGGGGCAGTCCTTGGGCCGGAGGGTGGTTTCTGGAGCAGACTAAGGAAGGAAGCACCAACCAAGTTCACGGAAAAGGCTGGGCCCTGGCCAGAAACAGGTGGCTGGCCCCTGACTCCCCCAAACCCCGTCCTCGCTATTAGCTCCCTGCTTCCAGGCCAAGGTGAGCCTCTAGGCTGTACTCAGCGGAGGTGGAGAAGCCTGGGGGGTTCAGCAGCAATGCCCCATTAATGTCCTTCACTCTGGAAAAAGGACCAAAGCAAGCATTCTTTGGCAAGAAGTCATCAAGGTCTGCTTTGCCTCAGAGCAGGTGAGAGAAGAGATCTATTTCGGTAGCCGTGAACACCCTAAGACAGGCCTTGAGCAGCCGTCAAGGGAAACCAGGACAGGAAGCTGGGATTAGCACGCCCTGAACTGCCCTTCCTCCACCCTGCACTTCTGTTCAGCAACCCTTCCGGGCAGACCTGGTGTCTAAAATCAGAAAGACCGTTTCCACCTCCTCCTCCGAGCCTTAGTCTGTGTCCGAGGGGAGGGAGCCTTCGGACAGTGCAGTAGCTGTCCTGGTGGGTCTTCAGGCTTCGACAGCCACCAACACAGATGGGGCACTGTCAGAACACCCCCCCACCCCCTCCGTGAGTGGGAGGACACAGGTGCATCTTTCCGTTTGTCTCCACCCTCATCTGTGGAGAAAAACAAAACCAGCCCTTGAGCTCACTGTCGTCCACCTTGTCCACGGAAGTGCCCGTGTGTGCAAGGCGCCCCTCTGAGCACTGAGACACAGTCGTGCAGCCTCGCTGGCTCACTACTGCACAGTTGGGGAGTGAAAACGCACCCCTTAAAGAGAGCAAAAGTCCGAGACTGTGCAAAGTCCCCCATGGTTGAGACACACAGGAGGAATGAGGAGGAAGAGAGGACTCGAGTGGTGAGGGATGGGTTCCGAGGGAGGTGCAGGTCCTCGGGATGGGGGGACAGTGTGGCAGGGACAGGGCATCTAGGCCGGGGACGCAGCCTGGGCAAAGGCGCCAGTTCAGAAACAGACAGGGCCAATGGCGTGGCTGTGCTGGAGGCGCTGGGCAGAGAGAAGTTCCCGCAGCCCAGGGGCTCAGACTCAAAGGCCTAGGTATGGGATTTAGGGTTCACCTTGTGGGTGTGGGTAACAGAGAGCTCTCGGTGGGTTTGGAGCAGGGGAGAAATAGGGGGCAACATGCACGAAGCCATGTTTTTGGAAGATGCGTCCGGTTCTTCACATCTTTGTTTATGTCAACCCGGATTAGAAAGAACAAATGTCTTATTCGAAAGAATATATGTATCTTCCCAATGGAACATTATCCAGTCATCGACAGTTTATCCACAATTTTGGTATAGAATGAGTCTGTTGATGCGGAATGATTGAATTGAGCAAAACAATCAGTAAGCATAGTAAGATCTTATTTCAGTTTTAAAAATCACATGTATATATGTGCATGTGCATGTGTGAACATACATGTGTGTAGAGAGAGGGAAAGATACAAACACAGGGAGGGAGGCAGGAAGAGAGAGAAGCAACTTTAGAGCTGCCCATCTGGGCCCGCCCACAACCCCCCTCCCCGGGGCCCCTGTGATTGGTTCCTCCACTCGCCTACAGTCTCTCCTCTTAGGGGCGTTTTCTGGCCACAGGGAGGCACCCCAGGAGCATTAAGGGGCAGGAGTTAATGTAAGCTGCCCAGCCTCCTGGGCTTCACGAAGAAGCGCGGAGCAGAGGGTCCTCCCCACAATCTCTATGTGGTCCCCACGGCCCTTGTGCCATAGCCATCCCAGTGAACAGCCCGCTCACGACCGCATACTTTGTTGGCTTTTCTCCTCTTCCTGTCACTCCTCCACTCCCCCATGTCCTTCCAAACAGACTGCATGCTCCCAAATCCTGGGTTCCGGGGCTGTCTTTGGGGGGATCCAAACGAGGCCAGCAGCCTCCCCTCTCTCCCTGTCTGTCCCCAGGCTGCTGAAAACTCCTGGCAAAGGCTATTCTAGCAGCTCTAGAATACATTTGCATTGGGTGAAATGAAATACTGAAATACACATTGAAGACACTTTGATGAGGATTCTAGTGGTCCATGAATTAAACGGAGACCAAACCAGAGGCAGGGAGGCCGCCATCCTTGGCACTCTCACAGGGGCCCGGAGCAGGCGGGAGGTGACCAAGGAACACAGGCAGGAGGTGGAGATGGGTTCACTACCGCTAATGGAAGATTGTGGTAGTGAAATGTGTGTTTCATGAAACGTGTGTTTTAGAAGACAGGGCCGAAATAAAAGCTACCCAGCTCCTACTCCACTAGAGTTGTTTGTCAAAGGAAACGGAATCATTTGCTATTTGAAGAAAGGAAAGGCCACACGCTTATCTGCCAGAGCTATTTTGCTTGTAGAATATCTCACATCACCCTGGCGGCGGGGGAGGTGAGTTTCCAGCTAATTGCCTTGCCTGCTATTATTTTCTTTGAGTCATTGACCACTCCGCCTATTTCCTTTCCACTTATTTTCATGTTTGCATCTTTGGGTTGTTTTTTTTTGTTTGTTTATTTTGGGTGTTTTGTGTTTAGTGCCCCAGGACAACGTTCACCCAAAGTTCTCTCTGCCGCCTTGGTAAAATCTACTCTTGGGACTAAACTAAACATGGAAAAGGATTTCTAATCAAAAGTGCTCATCACAGTGTTGTTTATAAGAGTTGAACATTGAACATTATCCAATGTCTATTAATAGGGGGATGTATATGCAAAATCAAGGGAACTTACTCAAAGGAAGAGCACGCAGTCATGGAAGGCCATGGAACTGGAAAAACGAGCTCCCTCCTCCCTTCCGCAGACAAGGAAAGAAAAGGCCCCTTTCTAAAAATTTGAGTGGAAATTTCACTGCTTCTTTTTGGCACAGATGCAGAAGTGCCAAGCAAAGGGATGACCCAGCAGCGGGCCCTGTTCTTGGGCTCAGTCCCTACAAACTGGGAGGAGCTAGAATGTGAGGGCTTGAGGAAGGGAGTTAAATGCCACTCTGCAGAATTCTGTGACTACCTGGGTGTGGGGGAAGGAGTCTTGAAAACACAGCAGTGAAGAAATTCCTTTGTTTGTTTGTTTGTTTGTTTACAGGCTCTGATGGTGCCGTTTCTGCAAACCATGGTCACCCTCATGAGATGAGTGGGGGGTGTCCAGCAGGCCCCAGGTGGTACTTCTGGAGACTTACAAGCACACAGGTCACATCAGTAGGGACCCTTGTGGTGAGACCCGGTTTCCAGGTCCCACCCACTCCAGTTGAGCTGTGGGGCAGTTTCAGAGCCGTCCTATCTCTGGCACCCTAGAATGGGGGTGCCAGCAACCATGGGGGAGCACCTTCAGAAGCTCCCAGAGAGTCACCCCAACCAAATGACTCAGGGAAGAATCTGACTGCTCAGGGTGGGACCTGGGGGGGACAGGGTGTGGCAAGGCCAATCCCCCCACCAGTCAGGGCGGGATTTCCTGGAAGATGGTTCTGTTTTATAGAATTCTTTTGTTCGTGGGCCACTGAATCTTAATCCAAACTGGTTTAAGGCAAAAGGGTGTTTTCCTGGCTCCTGTGATAGGGAAGGACAGGGCTGGCGCTTGTCTGTAGTGTAACGGGCTCAGGAGTCAAAAGGTGCCTTCGGGTCCCTTTCTCCTTTGTCTCTCCCTGTCTGTGTGGTGGTCTCACCCCCTCCTCCATCAGACAGGTGGGAGGCACGGCCGGGCACCTTCCGATGTTCCCCAGTGAGTCTAGACAAATTTAGAGGATCCTGAGGAGAGAGGGGTGACTTTCTTTTGTTTACATGTACATATAAATCCCCGGGAGGGCTAAGACTGGCCCTTCTTCAGTTACACAGCCAGCTTTTGGACCAACTACAACAGCCTAGAGGACTGACCCAACCTAGGTCACATGCCCCTCTCTGGGGCTGGTCAGCAGCCCCACCAGAATCACACATTCGGAATAGGGAGGAGCTGTTCCCCAAAGGAAGGGAGAAAATTACCACGAGTAGGAGGTGTTCATCCCTCTCTAGCTGTGGGAAGTCACCTTTAACATACAGCTTTGTTTCCAATCAGGCCCACCCCTAACCCAAAAGATACCATGTGCAAGTTAGAAAACTTAGCCCCTTCGTCTAGACATTTCGCTACCATCCGCTAGAAAATTATCCTTTCAAATACACTCATGTATGGTGACGACTGTGCCTGGTGCCTGAATGCAGCAGCCCTGCTCCTCCCAGGCTGTAATTCCCTTAGTGAGTCAATACTCCAATCCCTCACTGAAGCAAGTCTTACCCCACGGAGCTTTGGGCAGTGGCGAGGCAGACACCAAAGGGGCAGAGCCATCAGTGGGAAAGCCGCTGCCTCCCACCGCCTCGCTCCAGTGCCCAGGGGAGCAGAATGCTATCCATGGGACAGTGACCTGCAGTTCTAGAGAGCCGCCTTCAGCAAAGCAAACTGGAGCCACAGCAGAGCCAGGAGGGA